GGATCCATGCAGCCTGGAGATTGTTGGGCAGTGACCCCTCTGCCCTGTGGGGTTTGGGAGCCCTGCAGAGCCCAGAGCTCATTAGGCAGTGACTCCCCTGTGGGTTTGGGGAGCCCTGCAGAGCATGGAGCTCATCAAGCAGTGATTCCATGGGATCCAAAAACCCTACACAGCCCAGAGCTCATCAGGCAGTGACATAGTGACCCCTTTGCCCCTGTGGATCTGGGAACCCTGCACAGCCCAAGCACCTTCCTCCCCCTCTTCTCTGCCATGACAAGCCAGAGTCAGGGAGTTTGGGAACAGCAGTGCCAGAGCTGTCAGGAACTGGGGGAAAGCCTCTCCTGCTGACACATTCAGCCTCCCTCCCACAGGCAGAGCCTGGCAGCTCCTTCACCTGACTGCTCCTGAGGTCACCTTGTTCTGAGCTCCAGAGATGCAGCTGCCTTTCCCTGTGCTCCCCAGAGCCTGCAGGAGCCTGATTGGTGTGAGGAAAAGCTGAAATGGCAGCTTTGGGAGACTGCCCAGGGAGCTCCAGCAGCTGCCAGCTCTGGTGGCTCTCCCTTGGGACAGGAGGTGCCTGAGGAAGAGGGAGGTGGGAGAGGCTGGTCTGGGCTTGCCTGGGAGCAACTGCTGCCTCCCAGCCTGTCTCATCTGCAGCTTCCTCATCCTATTGGGGTTCTCTTCTTGCTGCAGACACCCCAAATCCACTGTGACAGCAGCTGGAGATCCTGTGCAGGGCGTTCCCTCCCTCCTGGTGCCCTTGGCTGTGTTACCCCAAACCCGGGAGGCTGTGCCTTGAGCCAGACTCCAAATCCCACAGCCCATTGTGCTTGGTTGGTCTTGTACAGTCAGACATGAGGAATTTTCTGGCATTGGAGGGAACAGCTTCCTGGAAGAGCAGGAGCTGGTGCTCTGTGATTTCCATCTTCCAGGCAGGGAGGAGACAGCTCTCCTTTTGGAGTGGAATTAGGGGAAAGTAATTCTGGTCTTGAACTCGTGAAGCTCATAATCCCCTTCTCTGGGTTTGAAGCCTGTTCGTGGAGGGATAAGAGCCCAGACTGCTGCTGACTGACCTCTCTCCTCTTTCTGCCAGGGACCTGCTCTCCCCAGACTCCCTCCTCAACTGCCTCTATCCAGGGGACCACGGCAGGAAAACGCCCAACCCTGCCAACCAGTTCCAGTTCGATAAAGTGGGGTGAGTGCCACTCAGTCCATTGCCATTAATTCCTTGCTCCAAAGGCACAGCAAATCCTCCCTGACTTGATGTGACCCTTCCTCATTGTCCCCACAGCATCCTGACCCTGAGTGACTACGTGACAGAGCTGGGTCATCCCTACGTGTGGGTGCAGAAGCTGGGTGGCCTGCATTTCCCCAAGGATCAGCCTCAGGCATGACACAAACCCCTCTCCTCTCCCCCACAACCTTGGGCTGAGGTTTGAGATCCTGTCCTGTCCCCCTGCTGGCACCAGCTGCTCCCAAACCACGGCTGGGACAGGCTGAGCTGGGCTGGATCTGTGTGTGGGGTCACACTGACGTATTTCATGTCACACATGTGATAGCCCAAGCCCTTTTAGAGGCACTGAATGATGAGTGCCCGTCCCTGCGGGCATGTGGCTGCTGTCCTGACACCCCTCCTGCCCACAGCACACGGTGGCTGCTGACAATTCCCTGAGTGCCAGCCACATGGAGCTGACAGTGAAGCTGCTCCGGAGCCGCCTGCAGTCCCGCCTGGCCCTGCACAAGCAGTTTGCATCTCTCGGTGAGTGCTGGGCTCCCCACCCTTCCCTGGGGACAGGGGTGCACTGGCAGGGTCCTCATGCAGGGAAGGATCTCTTCCCTGCTCAGCCAAGCTCCAGGTGGCTGTGGTCCTGAATCCCAGTTATTCCAAGCTGCTGCCCATCTTCAGTGCCTGAACTGGGAGGGAAAGTGGAACAGCAGCAATCATAGGAGAGGAGACCACCTTTGCCACCACTGCCACCTTTGATGGGTGGCAGTGCAACCCTCAGCATTCTCAGTTGTTCCCTCAGCCCTTGGGAGTTGTAGGAATGAAGGAACTACCCTATTTTGGGTGGCAGAGGGAGGCTGTGCCCCTTCTGGTGCCCAGCATCTCTTTGGGAATGGCCATCCCAGAGATGGGAAGTGATTTGGGATGTGGTGGGAGGTGAACTGCACACCCTGCATGTTATGTACCTGTCAAGCAGCCCAGGGATCCAGTGGGGCTGCAGGCCAAGGATCCTGTGGGATCACAGCCCAGGGATCCCCCAGGCTTCAGACCTGTGCTGGGCACCTGATGGAGCTGCTGAGGGGAGCTTATCATGCCCAGGTCGCACTCTGGGAGCAGAACAGTGACAGAGCTGTGTCCCCAGCCCTGCCCTGCTCAGGGCCCTGTCCTTGCTTTCAGAGCATGGTGTTGTGCCCGTGTCCAGTGAGTGCCAGCAGCTCTTCCCAACCAAAATCGTCTCACGCCTGGTGAAGTGGACTGCAATTCCCTATGAGGATTATGCTGTAAGTGCTGAGCATGAGCCTGCATCGCTCCCTTCCAGCTCCCACATGGCACTGGAGCCTTCATTCCTCCTTCTCCTCTCAGGAGCTGCCCTACACTAAGGATGTGATAGAGGCTGGCTTGGCTGAAGACACTCACCTCTACTACATGGCCCTGATAGAGAGGGGAACAGGTAGGCACCTTTTTTTCCTTTGGGAATTCCCAATCCCCATCCCAGGGCAGCTTCTGGGAGTCTTCATGGATAATGCCCCTGGCTGGATGCCCTGTGAGTGACACCTTTTCCCTGCTCAGCCAAGCTGCAGGCAGCCGTGGTGCTGAATCCTGGTTATTCCACTCTGCCTCCTGTCTTCAGCCTGTGCCTGAACTGGAAGGGAGAGCGGAACAGCAGCAACGACGACAACATTCGGGTACTGTGGGGTGGGGGCAGAGGGGGCTGGAATTTTGGGGGTGTCCCCAACAGTTCTGTGTCCTTAACAAGGGAATGTTGGGGTGAGCTGTTGGCTGGACACTCCTGGGAATTCAGAGTAGAGGTCCAAGCCTGTGCCAACCTCATCCCTGTTTTCCAGGCCATGGAGAGCGAGGTCAATGTCTACTACAAGGAGCTGTGGGGGCCCAAACCTGGCTACCAGCTCCTCACCAACCAGCTGCAGCGCCTGTGCATGGTGCTGGATGTGTACCTGGAGACAGAGCCCCATGATCCCAGCGTGGAGGGGCCCAAGGAATTCCCCCAGGAGAAGATGTGTCTGCGCCTGGTCAGGTGGGAGCTGCCTGGGGGCTGAGGGTGCTGGCAGGGACTCTGGTGGCATTGCTGTTCCATGGAGCCAGCCTGGAAGCCGGTCCGAGAGGGATCTGCCCCCACAGCTGGGCAGTAGCCCAGGAACTGGGCCTTTTCTCTGGGTGCCATGGGATGTTCCTGATCCCTGTGGGTCACAGCCTCTCCCTCTTCTCCTCTTCCAGGGGTCCCCTGCGCCTGAAACCCTTCAAGTTTAACTACCCCCAGGGGTTCTTCAGCCATCGCTGAGCAGCCCTGGGCATCATTTTGGAATGGGACTCATTCACTCTGTGGGAGAAGCGTCCCCATCCTGACATTTCTGCCTCTTTTACAATATTTTGTGTTTTGTTTGAAGGTTTTGTAGTCAAAGGGATTAAACTGAGCTAAAGAAAAAATGTGTGGATGCCTTATGTGTGCAGAGGGCTGGGATGAGGAGCCGGTGAGGGCTGCAGCATGCCCTGTGTCCCACCCCTGGGCTCTGACAGCCTTTCCAGGGATGCTTCTGCCTCCTGACTTCCCTCCCCACCGCAGGGTCTGGCGAGCTGAGATGGCTAAAAACTGAGGTGGCTAAAAATAGCCCTTTTCCAGAGCCCGCACTGCAGCCCCAGCCTGTCCTTGGCGGCTGGCTGCCATCCCACTTGGCACAATCCGTGCATCCTGGGGGGCTGCTCTGCTCCCTGGGCTTGGAGGGAAGCAGAGAGGGGTCCTGGGAGAGGCAGGATGAAGGTTGGGACATCCCAGCTTGCCCTGCTTGGCATCAGAGAGTTGGGATGTGCCCCCTCCCTGGCAGTGCTCTGTGTGGGGGTCCTAGGCTGGCAGAGCTGGGGTTCCATCCCCCCTCCCAAGGTCACTGTCCCTCCTTCATCCCAGGCTCTCTGTGTCTGCCCTGGGAGTGATTTCTCCCCCAGGAAAGCTGACAGCCCCTCGCCTGCTCCCCCCTAGCCCCTGCCCTCAGTGCAGTGCTGCAGTGCCGGGCTGTGCCGCAGCCCTTGGGTCAAACCAGGCTCTCCCAGTCCCTTGGGAGCCACGCTTTTAGAAGAAAAAACAAACTGAAATCCTTTGGAAAGCATGAGCATTCCATCCTCAGGACACAGGGTCCTCCGTGCCTGCTGTGGAGTTTGTTTCCCTTCTAGAGAGCCCCATGTCACCCACCCCCGCCCTGGGTGACAGATCCCAACCCCACGTTCCCACCTTCCTTCTCTGTCTTCTCCCCAGGACAAGCCAGCAAGCCAGGGTGTCTCTGTAAGCACTTTTATTTGGTTATTGCACAGAAAGCAAAGATCAGTGGGCTGAGGTTCCTGGTGCACCGTATGTGTCTGTGAGCATTCCAGCAGCTCCCAGCCTCTCCCACCTCTGCCCAGAGGGACTGTCACCCCCCAGAGCAGGGCAGGACCCTGCCAGCCCCCCCAAGCAGCTACAGCTCTGCATTGCACTCATCCATCCATTGCACATACATTAAATAAATGCACTTAGAGGAGAAGGGCAGTGGGGTTCCCCTGGGGGTCCCTCCTCTTCTCCTGGGTTATTCAAGTGTTTAAATGTGGCGCTCGGCGAATATCACGTTCTGCAAGGGAAGCAATTGCCCACCCGAGGGGCTCTCACGGGCCTATTGCTAAGGGAAAGCCTGGCCTGGGGGTCCCTGGGGTCCCACCCTGGGCCCAGCCATCGGAGGGAGCGGAGCAGCTCCCGTGCCCGGAGGTGCCTTTGGCGTCCGGGACTCTTCCATCACTTCTTCCCTGGCTCCGGGGCTGTGCCCTCCTTGCTGGAGGGAGCCTCGACTTTGGGGGGTTCCTTACTGGCTTTGGGCTCATCTTTGGGTTTTGCTTTAGCTTTGGGTTCCTCCACTTTCTTGGGCTCCTCTGCCTTCTCCTTCTTGGGCTCTTCTGCCTTTTCTTTCTTGGGCTCTTCCGCCTTCTCCTTCTTGGGCTCCTCCACCTTCTCCTCAGCCTTTGGCTTCTCAGCCTCTTTGGTGGCTGCTTTGCTGACCTCCTGAGGTTTTGCTGGAGCCTCCTCAGCTTTTCCCTCTTGGGCAGGTTTGGGGCTTGGCTTGGTCTCTTTGGCCTCGGGAGCTGGAGGCTCTGGCACAGCAGCTGCCTTCTCTTTGGGTTTCTCCTCTGTCTTGGCTGGGACGTCCTTCTTGGGAGCTTCCTCCTTCTTACCCTCCTCAGGCTTGGAGGGAGCCTTCACCTCCTTGGGCTGCTCCTCCTTGGCCTTTGGCTCCTTGGCTGGGGCCACTTCCTTCTGTGGAGACTTGGCCTCCTCCTTCACGGGAGATTTGACTTTCTCTGGGGACTTCACAGCTGGGGGCTTGGCCTCCTCCTTTGAGGGGGTTGGGGGCTTCTCTGGGGATTTGACAGATGGGGGTTTGGCTTCCTCTTTTGAGGGAGTTGCAGGTGGCTCTGGGGACTTCACAGCTGGGCTCTTGGCCTCCTTAGAGGGGGCTGGGGGTTTCTCTGGGGACTTGACAGTCGGGGTCTTGGCCTCCTCTTTTGGAGGGGGTGTGGGTTTCTCTGGGGATTTCACTGTTGGGGTCTTGGCCTCCTCTTTTGGAGGGGGTGTGGGTTT